GCCCCAAAAATTAACTTTTTAAACTTTCAAAACTATGCAGCCCTACCAATTCGACCATGCTCTTTCCGATGCCGTCGAGAAAACGGGGTCGAATAAAACTGTACCAAGCATTGTTCGGGTCTCTCGCAAACGGCCTTTTAACCCTTTAACGGTGCCATTTAGACAAAGCCCAAAAAAACTAAAAAATGTCTAACAAGGTTTGAACTAGCGCATAGATAGTCTCGCCAGTCTCCCGAAGTGTAAGTAAGCTAGTAAGCTTCCAAAAGTTTTAAGTATTTTAATGGAGATTTCAGACATTCAGACGTTGCGGAATTTATGTAGCGATTCGAGAACATCACTAGTGCAATGCTTAAAAATAAATGGAAGCCAGACAAAGCTGTTCTTGAGCCGGGATTGCCTTTTTTAGGGGGATGAGGCGGGGAAGGCATTTGTGAGCAGCCCTTTTTTGGAGACAAATCGCATCAGGGGGGTTGCAAGGAGGGGAGGGCTGAGAAGCATCTGAGAAGGGCCCATCATTGATTCAGAAGGGGTTGACCATGTCCTGCAGGGGGTCTAAGATGGGCCACACATTGGTGAAGGGTTATCGAGGGAGAGTTATGAATGGAGCGTGGGAATGGGTTGTGATTCGTACTACTGAATGATTAAACGGAGCACGAGGTTTATAGTAAGAAAAATAACAAAAAATCCAGTCCGGGGGCGAGAAAGCGAGGGAGAGAGAGAGAGAGCGAGAGAAAGAGAGGGAGAGAGAGCGGGAGAGAGGACAGAGAGGAATAGAGGGACATAAAGAGTGAGAGAGATAGCGAATGTGATAGAAAGCAAGGTTGAAAGACAAAAAAGTGGTAGAGATATGTTTTCAACCCAAAAAATTGACTACAAAAAAGCTCTGAACCTATATAAACTTCTGAGTTTTGCGTATGTTAAGCCGGCATCTTGGCAGATATTTGGGCAAGCCAGCCGGCTGTGTGACGCAATCAGAAGAGGAGGGCCATCCTCGCCAGGATGGGCCATGCCCAGGGAGGGCGGCTAATTGAAAACTTCCACTCCAACTCTATCCACGCACATGGGGCGGTCAGACGGATGGGGAGCGTGCTAGCTATCCAATAGGCTGCGAATGGATGATACCAAGCGGTTCAATACGGCAATAAGAAATCGCGAATGCCATGATAAATAAAAGGAAAATATGAAGCTAAATAAAAGGGAATAGAAAACAAATTCCGTATTTCGGCGATGCTGATTTTTCGAAATATTTATAAGGCAATCGATCTGCTATCATAATATCGAAAATAATAAGGTGCAAATGAGGAAGGTCCAACTTTAATAATTTCGCTGTCATAATGCCGAAATCCATAGTGGCAACTTTCAAAACAGCAGATTCTTTTGCATAATATCTGAGGGATTTGCACACAGAAGTGACATTAAAATGTAGATTGAAATTCCGAGACTTTTTACATAAATATCTGCATTATGAGATAACGACACTATGAATTTCGAGATGTGTGTTTGATCAATTACGTAAATTTATTCAAAATCACGGCAACACGCGGTGAAATTTTTCGATAAACATGCCTCCAGAATTTTACAAAACCTCAGGATTTGATGATTCCACTGTCGTAGCCAAAAATTTTACGGAAAAACATCTTTCCCACGCGAAAATTCGAAAACACGATATTTTGGTGTAGGGGCCAATGGCGAGATGACGCTTCTCGGCATGCCGCCATCTTCATAACTAATCCGGGAGAGGGGTGGGAGCGCCATGGGGGAATTACGCATGAGGGGCCATCTATGGAGAAATTGGGGTAGTAAAATGGAAAAGAGGACCAGCTGTTCAGTTGTACCCAATTTTGTTTAGGCTGTGGTGGATTTGGCTTTTAAAGGAAAGTGTAAGGCATGCTTGTGGTCTTCTTGAAAATCCAGCGGGTTTTTTTCTGGCCGCAACCCGCGACGCACACATGGGACGGTCAGTATGGGGATGTAGCAAAGTATGAAGTTTTGCCTGCTAAAGTGTTGATTATTCAAATTTTTTATTGAAATACCAGCCGCCCACGGCGACTTTGCCGCTGCAAGCGGCTGGACTTCGGGCTACCCTTCGGGCTCTCTTCCCTCGCCGGAACGCGCGCGACCTGGCCCACTATGCCGAAAATCGTGCAAATAGCCGTTATCACCACCAAACCACTAAAAACGGTTTTTAAATATGAAAAAGAGATTTTTAGATCCTGTTCTTGATCATTTTGGGAGTATCTGGCGGCGCTCTATCCGAATCTGAAGAGAACGTCCTAAGCTCGCCCTTCGGGTTGAATTCGGCTTAAGACACGAAGAGACCACTGCAAAATTACTATAGTTGATCATAGCTGGTTCCGAATGATGGCATTTAAGTACTAATTTAAGGGCGATGGGGGCGTTGCGTGTCGCTTCGCGCGGCGGTGCACTCAATTGCATTTTCATTTGCATTTGCAATTGCAATTCGCAGGCATCCAAAAAACCTCGGCATGTCAAAAATAGCCTGGTCCCTGCGGGCGCCAGATTGGTGCTTCAGGGTCAAAAGATGGGCCTTTGAAGCATATAGGGGGACCCCGCCAGTGCGCAAAACGACTGGGGATAAATCCGGCGGACACGAGGATGACATCTCATCTTGAGGGGGGCAGAACAAGAGCATGGCAGCGCCTACTAGGATTTTTCGTCTGATGCCCAAATCTGTATACGAGACGACCGGGAGATGAAAAAGCCGATGGGGGAGTTGGGGGATGGCATGGTTGGGCCTATAAAAGTGGACAAACAGCCGGACGGTCAAACATGGAACGCGGCACTTTTGGGCGGGTGGAAATGGCCGAGGAGGAACTGCGGCTAGTGGAAGATGATAAACAAAGGTGGAAAAGGATGGAAAGGGGATAGAACAAGCCAAAATTTATGGCATATTTGCATACGGGCAAAGTACAGCCGAACTTTTTGTTAGCTAGAGTTTTTTTAGGCTTTCTGGGCGCGGGATAAGCAACGCGCCCGCGGACCTGGCACCTTTCTATGTAAACTTTTTTCCTTTTTGTTTTTTTAACCCTTTTTTCTATGTAAACTTGGTCATTTCCATGATATTCCAGTCTTATGAAACGTGTCTAAAGAGACGACCCGATTTTGAAATATGAAATCTGCGAAAACTAAGAGAGAGAGAGAGAGAGAGAGAGAGAGAGAGAGAGAGAGAGAAAGTTCCAAAAATAAGGATTCTAACCCGGAATCGTGTTGATCCCTGGTTCAAGTACGCCATGCAACTGACTACAACAATCGTCCACACTCCATTGTCATGAGGAAGACACCGACCGGTCGTAGCAGCAACGGCTGTCTATTAGCATATTATGCAAATCCCGGGGATCAACCCCTTCGTACCCCCTCGGGCTCAGTGACCACCCGCGCCGCTACAGACCCGTGCCGACAATCCAGTTCTCGAATTTATACCCCGACTTTCATCAAATTACGAGCAAAAACCCGATTTTGAACCCGAGATTTTTGGTTTTAGAACTCCCTGGCGAATTCGTTGATTACGGTGAACAGGGAAATGAATGGAAAAGAATGCAAAATCAAAGCCTGCGACTAGAATTACCAAAAATCGGATTTTTTGCGGAAAAGCTGATTCCCCGGGGACCGATTCGTCTCGAGAAATGCGACGGCAATTCCACGGGCTCAAATTTCATGCATAAACTGTCGGGGGCAGTTTCTACGGGAGTTTCGAAAAAATGTTTAATGGTAAATTATATATTATACGACTGCGGGAACTATAATTTAACTAGTTAAGGCTTACAAGTATATGTGTTAGTTCGTATAGCTCCAAAGACGTAATTCCGTTTTGTACCTAATTGCGACCCTGCAAAAACGAACGAGCGAACGAACAACTTCAACATTTCAAGGGCCCCGTTTTTAAGCACTGGAATGCGCACTTGCCATTCTGAATGATTTAGGAGAATTCTGGAACAAAGAAGACGCCTAAAAAAGCACTCTTTTCCCTTCCGGTTGTCGGGATTTAGTGGGGAGGCAGGGCCATCCGCGTTAGTCTTGGGACCCAGCTGCCGTCTCGGGCCATTCAGGGGATCCGCCACGAAATTTGGTCTATGGATGAATAGGATACGTGAGGAGAGCTTGTCAAGGGCAAGAGCTGATTAGGTTTCATCGAGAAAATTATTAGTCTACCAAGGGCTCGAAATCCAGGCAAAATGAGCCAAAATTTGGGTCGTTAAGGCAAAATTCGGCAATTCAGGATCAAAAAGATTCCGGCGAAAAACCAGGCCATCTTATTAGCAAACAAAATTTATTATTATTTTTGTTAATGCTTCAAAGCGCATTTAAAACGGAACCCAAATTCACAAACGTTTCGTCACACGGGCTTTGGCTTTTCCAAAGCCCAGGAATCCACCCAAAGATATTGTTTCCATGTTTTTGATAAGCCCCCCCGGCCGCGTCAGCTCAATTTTTCACGTCTAGGCGGGCTCGACTGCCAAGTATGGGCTCTTCGATAATTTTTGTACTTACGGTTTTTCACGCTGTGGCAATGGGCAATTTTTAAATTCCGGCAGCTAATTCAAATTGGTTTAGGGGCCCAAAGTGCCAGCCCGGTGGGATCACTGCAACTCCAAATTAAGCCGTCTTGAAGCTACCCTCGTAAATTCACTAATTTTTTGTTTTGCAAATGAGATGGAAGTGATTCAGTCTTACTGTTATTTCAAGCTTTTTCTGTTAATTACGATCGTCAACCAAAAATTTGGCGGGATTCAGGAGCTCCCACGTTGCGACCAAAAAGCTTCACTCTGTTTTTGATAAGGAACACAAGGCCTGTGTCCGCCGTCATTTTGACTTTTCCATCCTGGTCCCGCACTGAATCATGCGTAATTGTCTAGTTTACCTAGCTTTTATTATTATATGTACGACTGGTAATCAATATTTCACAAGCAACCCACCTTATTGAAGTTGCGGAAGAATCATGCCTGCCGGGATGGACTCAATTTCAAGCCCATTGCTATCAAATGAGCGTAAGAAACTCCAGCCATTGAATTATAAAGGTCTTCATTACGTAAGAGTTTTTCCCTAGAACTGGACGTTGATCGGCAACTGCTACAAGCTCTGGTGGCCCGAGCAGGCCGAGTATGAGTGCAATCTCTCAGGTGCGGATCTCGTATCAATTCATTCGGCTGCGGAGTTGGATTTTGTTAACGGTTCGTTTCCTAGAAAAAGTGGACGTTAAGTCAGAAAGGTAATTAGCCCCTTTAAAGGGACCAGGAAGCCAAAATCGACCCTCGGTACCCGCTAGGTCGTTGGCTTGAAAAAAGCTTCACAGCGGCTGTTTTGCTTCCCAGGGCTCTACAACAGCCAGTCGACAAAACGGGTCGATTCTCGCATGTTCTGACCCCTTTAAGTTTCTAGTAACCCAATTTCAGGCCTCATCAAAAGCAACGAAGCCAACGACGACAAGAGCTGTACCGGAAATCCGTGTATTCAAGGGGCTGGTGTGTACACAGGACTCCAATCCTATGCCGATACTGTAACAGTTAGTTGTTGTCATACTGAAATTCCAATTCGCTTCTAGTGGACCGACAACTCTCCCGTCGATTTCAAATTCTGGGGTGCTCTTCCGGGACTGGATTACGAATCCCTATTGGTGAGCTTTTACTAAAAATCACGCAAAAATGACTCATAGCTCTTCAATGACGCCTCGTGTCCACCACCAGCCATTCGGAATGGATTTTATTACACCAGGGTCACAAGATTTCCAAGATATCTCTGTAAAAGAGCGCTTTGACTTTGAACTGACCTTCTTAAACTGGGGATAAAGAGTAAGATTTACTCAAAAATAAATGCTTTATTTAAGACAAACACATAAATACAGATCAATAAAAACTTTATGCGATGCTTGATCTCTCAGAGGGAGGGAGATTGCCGAACTGCTTGGCCAGCTCTTGGTCGAGAAGGCTGAAGTCGACTCGGCGGTGTTGGAGGGTAGCTTGTGTTTTAGTGGAGAGCTGGAAATTGCGAATTAGAGAGAGAGAGAGAGAGTGAGAGAGAGATCGTGATGTATAACCTTACCTCCCTGCACTTTACCACCGCCTCTAATTCTGTCTTAAACCGATCCACCTCGCTCGTGTCTTCGATCGACTTCTGCGGCGGAGGGACGCTAAATTCACTTTAAAAGAGAATAAAAATGTTAGCGAACTTAAAATCATAGGAATGCAACTGAACCCAAAAGTATTAGTATTTTTAGCGAACGTATCAAATCTAACTCACAATACAACCAGCTTAGGTTACTTCCCAGTCTCCTCAAAGAAAATGGTATTTCTAAGTTGACTTACTGTAACCACTCGTTGTCGGCATTCTTCTCAAATGCTTCACGACCTTTTTCACCTCGAGTTTTGGCCGAATTCCTGAAACCATGCAATTAGTACCTAGAGTTTTGAGTGTGAATCCATGTGTCACTGTCCCTTTAAAAGGTAGCATTCGGGCAAAAAGTCATCTTAAAGGGATGGTGACACATGGAAAAACCGACGAACCTTCTAAAGAACTTCATGAAGCTCTTTTTCTCCTCCGGTTTCTCCTTGACGGCAAGCTCTTGCATGCTGTTGGAGACCATCTTGGTGATTGGGTTCAACTAAAAATGGACTCGAGATCTTTAATAAAAGCCTACTGATTTTTCTCCGACCGAAACGCCGCTGTCTGTCGTCCGGTTTGTCGAGGCGCGACTGTCGATCACTTCGGCATACCTTTAAATGGAATGTTTTATACGTTTATATGTGTTTTCCGGCTTTTCCGGATATTTAAAAATGTAAAAGTATACATTTTCGTATAAAAACATACTCCTCCTCATCCTCAGCAATTGATGACGTGTTTAGAGGAGTTTCCTCACGCAGCGGAGTGTAATTTCTAATAGTATTTTTATCAACTTCAAGCGGTAAGTAACCTGTTGTAGGTGTTCAATGTCTTTTTCTGTACCGGCCGGAAGATTGTAGAAAACTTCACGTGGTTCCGGAAGTTGTCTACAGCCAGTTGAGGAGCCGCACAGGCACATTCGAAAACTCCAGAGTCCTCGATCTCAAAGCCCAGACACCGTTCTCCAGTCGCAACCCTGAACCAGACGAATCCTCGTTGAAAGGTTTTTGCTTAATCGAAATACCCAAATTCATACCACGCTTACCACAAGATCGAACGATATGGCCAAGCATCCAGAACCTCGCCAGTTAGCTCCAGGTTTAAGGTATCCTCTGCAAAATGGAGGTCGTAATTCCCGTCCCGCCAGCGTTTGGCTCGACTCATCGTGGTGGGGAGAAGGAGGATGGGGAGTTTATCGACTGAAAATGGATTAATTTTTCAAAATAAAGAATTGTCTAAAGGCACCCTTCATTTCGAAAAAGCCGCATATCTAGCGTACCAGTGGAAAAAGACCGCTTCGCGGCCCTTTTCCACTGGACCCCGTCCGGGAACCATGAATCTCATTACCTTCTTTTTTTGGCCTGCGGCGCTAGAGCGATGGCCAGGCCTAAACCTCGCGCTAGAATCTTTTTTCCTGCGGCGCTAGTTACTGGTTGTTCTCCCGGATTTGGCCTGCGGCGCAAGAGCCTAGCTCAAGGACCTTTTTTTCGGCCTGCGGCGCTAGAGCGAGGGCCAGGCCTAACCCCCGCACACCGAGAGCCTAGAAAGATATTTTGTTACTAAACTACCAAAAAGCAAAAAGTCAAACTCGCCCAGGAGCCGAACCTACGCCCTGCAGCGTGGTAGACCGGGAGCTAATCCACTACACCACGAGGGAGATGGGAACAGGCGGGGGAAGGCCTCTTTCGTCCGCGGGAGGGGCGCAGAGGCAAAGAAAGGGCCGACCCAATGCCCCGGGCGGGAGGCCTTCTGGCCACTTTACAGAATTCCATTTTTGAGTCTCAATCCGCTGAAAATTTGTAAAGATAATTAGATGCGCGTGATCCCCACTATCGACTACATAAGTGGCCCAAGTTACAGACGGAAATTCCACCGCGGCTTCGAGTTATGATCTGTACAACGCAGCTCGTCACGCAATTTGTTAAGGATTTTACATTTTCGCATGTAAAAACGTTAAATTAAGGAATTTCGAAAAATCCAAAAAACCGTTTTTGGCGAATGTATTTCTCCACCTCCATGCCAAAAATCAGCCGGAAATTCGGCCTTACGGCCGAGAAACCGCCCGGACAGAAAACACACATACTTTTCTCGCTTATAGGATAAATTACATGGCGATGGCTTGACGGTACCTTTAAAACCTACAAATTTCACCATTGCCGGAATCGGAAACCGGGGATGATTCCGTGGATGTGGATGGTCGGGATTGGATCGTAACGTACTAAACTTTGGATATTAGAATCACAAACACCCTTCATACGCGATGTGGAAAAGTGGCTTTTGACAGCGTCTCTCTTAATTGGCTGAAATCTCTCGAGGTGATCGTATAGACGGTATTGTCTCGCATATGGACCTTGATGACCCGGACGTCTTCTAAAGGTATCATTAATGCTTTGACCCCGGCCTGGCACTTACTTTCAGTAAATGCCGTCCGGATGGAGACGCATTCTCCAAGTAACAATACTTTTGAGGGTTCGACAGCATGAAGTTTGGCTTCTGATGCGAAAAGCTCGAGTCGTGCGCACCCGTACGCTGAGCTTTCGAAGACGGCCGCGATAAAGTCTTTCCATTTCTGAAAGAAGGGGGTTGTAAGCTCTCTCTCTCCCTCTCTTCCTCGCTCTCTCACTCTCTCTCTCTTCCATTAGGTTGCTAAAGCTTAGTTCCCCTAAAAATCCTAAAAATCATCCTTTTATCCTTAACCTTTTCGACGCTCCATCAAAAACCGATTCCCCAGGCCTGCGAATTGTATCCCGCATTTACAGCCCCGGCAAAAAAGTATTCTCCCTGGGCCGGCCATTTGAAAGACTGGAAGCCACTCACCTTCCCAATAAAACGGTCGACCAGCAGCTGAACGGGGGCGATCAGAACCGGTTCCATCACCTGACCGATAGCTGAAAAATGACTGGTTATCCCCAAAATAACAACAACGTGATAGGGGATAGCGTAAGGGCCTGGGAGAGTCATGGCAACGTGTAATTAGGATGCATAAAATTCTTCCTGGCATTTCATTACGTAAGGTATTTCAAAAATAGGAAAGTGGCCACAAAAGCCTTGAAAATTATTCACAATATACAGATAATATTTTTTAAATAGTTTTAACGTAACTTAATAATAATATAACTGGGCGCAAAGGATTTTTTTGCCTGGCACCATCCCTTTAAAATACGCCATAATCCGATATGAACTGGGGAGAATCGACAATTCAGATCCCGTTAAAACACTCCTACTTCCGCTCAATGATTCAGAAACCCCACGGCTTTTCTCAATATTTTTTCGGGCTCCGGAAAATTCCGCAACGCCCGCCACTTCGTGATAAGATGGCGCCAGGTGGGAGCGGCACCGAATAAAGGGATTTATGCGTAAGAACTGGGGGCTATAAAGTTACAGCATTTCTGGGATTTTGATCGGGCTGGTCATGAGACAAATATTCGGAATTTCTGGAGTTTCGAAAATTTATAACAAATTGCGAAACTTTCAGCGTGAAATCGATCGATGCTAGACGATTTTAGTTGCAGAGCCGGCAGACTTGACGCAGGGACGAAAATAAGAAAAAATATAAGGCGAATCATACAAAAAAAATTACGCGCTACTAGTATTTTTTTTGTAGTTTTTGTCCCGGGCTCTCTGAATCAGAGGGACAAAAAAAGTGAATTGCCCGGCGCTATCAAAAACAAGGAAAAATGCTCTTTTGATGAATTCCACGCCCTGCAAAACCGTGTGGAATATGAAGAGCTGAAAATTAAAAACCAAAAAGCGAAAACGAACACGTGAAATCAATCGTTTTTCACACGTTCCTAAGCTAAATTGCCGAGATCTGGGGGTGAAAACAAAAACAGGCTCCGCCAATCACCTGGCCGGCCCGATGACGGATACAAAAATCGAATTTGCGCCCTTGTCAGGGCCATTTCGACCGCTGGGGATGAGTCAGCCGCCATGCGGATGGAAATGGAACCGTTCTCGAGACTCTCGTGTCCGGACAGGGATATATTTTGGTAACATTTGTTCAAGAATTCCTGCCTGGGGGCAGATCGTGCTGGGCCGGAAAGTGATCGGAATTTTATCAGGGCTAGGGAATCTGCAGAGGTTTAGTGGGAAATATAGCAGAAGTTTGGGAGTTCTGTAAATTCTGTGGCATTACTGACTTTCGAAAGCTAGAAAATTTAATTTTGCAGAGAGTTGAAATTCTAAATAAAGAATAGCCCTTTAATTTATCGAAACGAATCGTGTTTGGCATTACTTTAATGAATTCAAATCAGAAATTTTCAAAAGATGGTAAATGAGAATTAACGATAAGGGTAAGGTGGTAAAGGAATCAAGGCGGTAGACGGTAAAATCAGTAATGAAAGTAAGAGTTAGATACCTCAAGTCAGCACGGATTAGGGTTGAACTAAAAATTAGATACAGAAAGGTGAAATGAATTAAAAGATAGATAGATGCAAAGCACTCTCAATCTGAGGCAAGAAAAGAAACATCTGAAGCTCGAGCCAGAATGCCAGGCAGTTAAAATCGCGCTAAAACATTCCGAACAGCCTCGATATCAATCAAAAATCCATGGGAACGATTTTTTTGCTTCAAGATGTTTCGAAAATCTGCCTTTCGGCTTTCAATTTCAAAAGGCTCCGTCATTGACCGCCAGCAATTAGCAACTTTTTTCGATAG